GGGCCGTTTCTTCCTCAAATTCTTTCGCTTTTTTGTTCTCCCTATAAATTGGGCTTGTTCTGTTACCATAACCTGATTGACTTTCTGGATTTTTAGTTGGTACAAAATTGATGACAGCAGTGGGAATCCTCAGGCCTTCTTTTAGTTACTTAGATAAGTTAACATAATATTTTCTATATGTTTTTTCATGCTTGCTTTTTCTGTTAATGAGTTCATTTTGCTAGTGCACCTTTCTTTGTAATCTGTGGAAGAAGGCTGCTTCACTTTTAAACTATTCCAAATTTGAAGTGAAAATACGTGCATGTTTTCTGCTATGTTAAGAATCCTGAATATGATTTAAGATCCTCCTGTTTCTAGCTGGCAAGGGTATTGGTCTGGTGGTCCAGTTGAGCCAAACTCTGCTAGTTTAATCTGATCAGTATAGTTGGTTGTCTTCAAAAAAGCACAGAAATGCAAAAAGTAGAAGAAAACTGTGGTCATCAATGAATTGAAATGAGCAGAATTTGCCTTCAGAAATATATCAAAGTGTTATTCAGCTCTAAATTATGTAATTTTAACCACAGAAGTGCAATTTCCGTTTAATGTTTCTAGGTATAACATTTTATTACTGCAATTTAGAGTGAAATCCTCACTGCAGAATCTGAGTTGAGCACTGGAACTCTGATTTACCAGGGAAAGAAAAATGGACTGAGATAAAAAGAAAAGCATAGAGTTTAGTAAGCCACTTTCACACAATTAGTTCATTTCTCATTTCTATGGCAAAGAGTGTTTAAATCTTCACCGATTCATAAGCGTCTTTTTGTTCAATCTCACTAAAAATCACTGGGTGGAAGAAGTAACTTTTGTTTTGACCTTCCAGGCCAACATCAGTAGTGCTCCTCAGGTATAGGGACTCTCCTGTTTTTCAGTATTCTATAATTGCCAATCTGTATTTCCTTCCTGCATACCCATCATCAAGACCCTGGAGTGTGTCCAGAGAGGGGCAGCAAAGGTGGTGAGGGGTTCGGAGCAGAAATCTTGTGAGGAATGCCTGGAAGAACTGGAATTGTTTAGTCTGGAGAAGAGGAGGCTCAGGGTAGACTTTGTTGCTCTCTACAGCTATCTGAAAAGTTGTTGTGAGATGGAGGTTGGCCTCTTCTCCCTCATGATTACTGGTAGGACTAGAGGGAGTGGCCTCAAGTTGTGCCAGGGGAGATTCAGTTTGGATGTCAGGAAAAATTTCTTATCAGAAAGAGTGGTGAGGTATTGGAACAGGCCAGGGAGGTGGTGGAGTCATCATCCTTGGAGGTGTTCAAGAAATGTTTATATTTCTTGTTGTAATAAGGGACATGGCTTAGCAGGAAAATGTTGATGGTAGGTGGGCAGTTGGACTGGATGATCTTGAAGGTCTTTTCCAAGCTTAGTGATTATATGACTGTATGATTCATGTACAAATAATTAAATCATTATTTCTTCAGTCATATCTGAAAAACACAACAAAAAAAACCCCAACAATCCTATATCTGGCACAAACCTACAATGTTTTCAGAGTCTGCAGGACCAGTTTCCCTCAATATTTTATGGAGGTATGTGAAAGACTGGGATAGATGACTTTCTCCTGTGGAATGTTCTCCACAACGCCCCCCAAAATATAAGACCTTCATTTAGGTGACAGAAACATATATGGGAGCTTTATTGCACCTGAAAACACAATAGTGGAGAAATGCCTAAATCTATAAGATATAAGGTGGATTTTCCACTAGCGTGGTATTTTTTGAAGACTTCTGTCTAGCACTGGAAATGAAGATATTGTAGCTTGTTCCTCTTTTCATTTACTCTACAGCTACTACCTGTGATTTAAAAAAAAAAAACTGTATGAGAAAAGCCCATCTCTTTGAAGTCATATATAAATCCCATGTGAAGTGGGATTTAGTGTAACCAAGTTTTTGAATAGACTGTTGGTATCCACTGGTGAAAAATACAAAATCTTATTGCTACATCCGGTACATATTTCCATATTGTATTAAAAATTTATAAAATGTGACATGCAATAGATTAGTGAGATTGAATTGAGTGGTGGTCTAAGTCCTGGTTTTAAGGCACAAAGAACAGGATTTAGAAACTAAAGTCTCTTTCCTGGTCAAGCCCACAAGCTAACACATTCAATGTCATCTATAAAGTAGGATGAAGCTCTATGTTACTTTGGAGCAAGTAGGGTAGTAATCACCATACAGGACAAGGAAGATAAACACTTTTGATAATATGTTTCATTTTATAGGCTTTTTTTTTTTCTTTTTAAAATGTCTGTGTTTTTCTAATATGCAGGTTAAAAAAAATGCTTTTATGCAGTATGCACAAATAAAAAATTCACCTTCTTCCTAGAATTTTGCTTGATTAACCAGCTCCACATCCCTCTCCCAGTCCTTATTCTTTCTTTTACCCTTGTTCTTATTCTACCCAAAAACAAACTAAAAAGAAAATAATATTTGAGGCAAACATTACAGAGTGGTATCCCAGAAATTTCTAGCTTGTTCGTGAGATTTGGTGGTACTGAGATGTGTGCCAGGCTATATGTTGCATGGATACTGCAGTTATTTATTTCTGAGCCCTTGTAGGGGCAGTACTGCAACTTTTCACACTGGTCTATTGAAAATTGTTCATAGGGTCTTTGGTTAAATGCTGTGGTGCAGACATGATGCTGCTTTACTTAACACTACAGTGTGTTTCAGTGTTGTTTTTGTATGGTAGAAATTTTAAATAATTGTCTTTGTGATAATACAGAATCCTCCCAAAATAATTCATGACATTTAAAAAAAATTGCATATAAAGAGCACTGAGGTTGCACAGGAAACACTCAGAAATCAGCTCTGTGTGCACACGCTTCTATCTCCCCTCTTATGCACAGCTATTATGTTTAAATGTTTTATTACGTGTCAATGTAGTATTTCTGAAATAGCATGCACATCAGATAATGCTTAACATAAAAATTTAAAGTCTGTTTTGTAGTATACATAAGAAGTGGGCACTTCATATGGCAGACAGGTTCGCATTAATTCTCAGATTATGCAGCATAATATGAGACAACGCTTCTTCTGTGTATTACTGAAGCACGAAATGAATCTATAAGAGTGACCGACCTTAAACTCATAACTGCCATTCATTTCAGACTGTGTAGCCCAGCAGACAGGCTGTTGAGAGCTATACTTGCTTGCTGTTTTGTGAGTCTCTGCAGATGCACATTCACCCACTTTATGCAAACAGGCACACACACTTTTTTTTCCTCTCACACTCTCTGGCATATTTTCAGAATAACTCTTCGACGACTTTGTGAACTTCTGGGTATGATTGTCTCATTATTATTAATTTTTTTTTTTTTTTTTAACTGGGAACATGTTTAGTTCAGTGTTATTTAAACAGGCTTATCTCTTTGATCAAAGTCTACAATCTGAAATTTGAACAGGGTAGGGAGGGTGGTGGGGAGGGTGAGGAAATCTATCAAGTACATATTTATATGGTACTGCTGTCTTAGCTGCATGTCTGTGGAGGTACAAACATATATATTACTTCAGTGTAATCTTGAAAATATAAGTCACTGCTTTTTTAATAGAAGTTCTGAAACACCATATTATTACTACGATAAAAAAGATTATAGTAAACTTATCTAGAAGCTGTTAGTGACCTGTACATTATATTTTTGCATTTTTTTGAAGGTTGAATTGAATAACTGTGGAGCTGTTTAAATATACCATAGGCTTTGCTCATATTCAAATCATGCTAACTGGAGTCCATATATTAATGTGTTTAGGGTCAACATTAACTTATTTAACTGAGTGAACCGCAGACCACAGCAATAATGCTAGAGAACTTGGGACAGTTTTTGAAGGTTTTCATTTAGCTGGTTCAGGAGAACTGGTTTGTGAAAAGTTAAAATTATATGGCATGAGATTGCAAGATGAGGCATGCATGCCACACCTTTTCATTATGTCCTTTCTCTTTTCTTTTTTTTCCCTAAAGATAACTTTGAGAGTTAGTTCAGTTTATTTTAAAACTGATTCCATTCAAGTACTTTATTTTCCAGTTGATTGCAAAATCTAAGCTTGCTGAGCTTTGTTTTTGTGGGAATAGAAAAATAATAATCCTGTATTCGTTTTTTATGCACTGAAATCATTCTTCCCAGTTTCTAAGATCTTACTGTGTCAAAGTCTGAAGGATGCTTTGCTTCATTTTACAAGCTAAAACAGAAACTGACAAAAATTTATGGGCTAATCTAAATCTTTTCCTCACTTTTTAATGTAAATTTTCACTTCAGCTAGTTTAGGTTGCTATTGCTGATAAAGCTTGTTATAAACCTTTTCTCCTACACAGATCTTTTACATTCTTTAATTTCTGTTAGCTAGTTTTTTGAAGGAGGCTGGTTACACACACACAGACGCATGCGCTTGCACACGCGTTTTGCTTTGCCATATCTCAGTTACAGCAGAGTCCTACCCAGGGTCATTACAATGTACACATTACATATTTCTAGCAAACATGAAAATGAATCAAGCACGGAGAGATAAGAACAGATAGATTGGAGCCTGCTGAGGAAATAAAAGGCAATAATCTGGCTGACCACTGGGCTAGTCTTCCTGGTCTGATTTCAGCGTCCTTTCCCGTTAGCTGCTGTGGAGCACTGGCTGCCCTGCAGTGAAAAATGACTAGCAAGAATAAAGTAACATTTAGTGGGACAATTGTTTGGTGTAACTCCAAAACTAATTGTTTCTGAAGTGATGTTTAAATCAGCGTCGGCACAAGGCAAGAGCCCCTGGCTCACAGCCAGCACCTTGTAACGCATATTAGTGCAGATGAGGAGTTCTCAAAAGTTACAGGGAGAGGGAGAGGGAGAATGTGCCTTTCCAGTGCTCACCCTGCATTTGTTTGTATACTCCTCCTTGCTGAGATCAGAGGAATACCTGTGCAGTGCTGCTTTATTTATTATGATTTCTGCTGAGCCTCAGAATAGGTTCTGGTGTTTTTTTTAGGTGGACTGCCAGCTGCCGATCTCGCTGTTGACAGGAAAAGCAGATATGTTCCTTGCTCACTGCCATTAGCAATGACCATGACCCTTCACACCAAAGCCTCTGGAGTTACCCTGCTGCACCAGATTCAAGGCACTGAACTGGAGACTCTGAGCAGACCTCAGCTGAAGATTCCCCTGGAACGATCGCTCAGCGACATGTATGTGGAAAGCAACAAAACAGGAGTTTTTAACTACCCAGAAGGGGCCACCTACGATTTCGGTACAACCGCTCCAGTGTACGGCTCTACTACGCTCAGTTATGCCCCTACTTCTGAATCTTTTGGGTCCAGCAGCCTGGCAGGATTTCACTCTCTGAACAATGTCCCACCAAGCCCAGTGGTGTTCTTGCAAACAGCACCCCAGCTCTCACCCTTCATCCATCACCACAGCCAGCAGGTACCCTACTACCTTGAAAATGAACAGGGCAGCTTTGGGATGAGGGAAGCTGCTCCTCCAGCCTTCTATAGGTAAGTGCTACAGAGAATTTATCTTTCTTTAAGTAGCTATGCTGAGAAATGAGAACGTTGAAATATGTCTGCCCCACACTTTCATTTTTGTGTAAAGGACTGTGTAATCTCGGGGAATCATCCATGATATCCAGACCATAAAAATAGCAGAGAATAAAACAAAACTGTAACTCACAGCTCACTGTGCCTGTGAGCTGTAAATTTTGAAAACTGTAAGTAAATGGGAAACAAATTAGATAATGAGTGTAAATGTTTCCTGGGAAAAGATGAAATCATAATTGATTAAGGAGTGGCAAACAATCTCTCTGTTGCAATATATTAAAATTACTGTCTAGAAGTATACTGAAAATGTGCAAGTGGCTGTTTGTTCAGCTCTTAGCTGCTAGTAAGAGTATTTCCTACCTCTGGTTTCCTTTACAGGATAAGTGACTTATATAGGAAGTAGTTCAGAGGCACAGTATCCTTCCTAATCAAACTATTAGGACTGAGTAAGTGACAGTATTTCAGTCAGCAACCACTTTAATGAGCTGCCTTAAGATCTATGTGCCTGGCATTTTTTTAAACCAAATTTTGATATATATTACGCATAAATCTAGCATGCTGCATTTCAAAATAAATGTAGATAAATTTAAATATAAGTTATTATTTTTTTATTTTATATTTATTCCTCAATAGAAGTTTTTTAATATGTATTGACAATTGTGAAAGCATATACTTAATTTCTGAAATATGTGGGAGAAACTGATAGCTTCCAAGGAAATGTAATCAAACATACCAATACCCACACTGTTAATCTTTGTGCACTGTTAATAGCATAATTTTGTACAGACATATTATAATGGACTTCAGCAAATTAAAGTGAAGAGTTATCTATATATTGTTTTTCCTAAATGCTTTCAATATTTGTTTGTTTGGAAGGTACAGGTGAGTTTGATACAAATGGAGTGACCCTCCAAAAATAAAAGCAGGTTATTCTTTCCCTGCTGAGGCCAGACTTCTTTGTACAAAATAATATGTTGCTGAGAATAGCAATGTAGGTTATTAAATACAGCGTAACTCAACTGGAGAGAATCTTGTAGGAGAATCTAGTCCAAAAAAACAGATGGTGGTTGCACTTTTTGTAAATGATAATCAGTTTCGGGGGTCAGGTGGAATAAAGACAAGTGAAAAAATAACGGTTAGGCCAGGCAGTCCAACAAATATGTCTCTTAGCTGAACTGATTCAAACAAAACGCATTTTAGAGCAATTGAAGGCAATACCTCTAATTAGCATTAAGTATCTGGATTGTTTAACAGTGATGTGGGTGTAAAAAATGTACTTTGCACTAGATTTCAAGTTGTTTTTTATTTTTATTTTTCATTTTTTTTAATATGAATATCCAGCGCAAAGCCCTGTTAGAAAGCGTATAAGAGACATGAGGTGTGTAAACAGTGGAATAGTGAGCTGTGGAACACGAACGGTATAATTTGTGAAGCTGAAATGCACATGCAGGAAATGGGCTAAAGGGAGGGCTTTTTACTTAAGGAGGGAGAAAAAACAAGGATCAATTGGAAATGGAATCTGAACTGTGGAAATGGCATTATTTTATTTTCTAATAGTGAATGGTCGTGAGATACTTTCAAATAAAAATAGCATACATTGTAGCAGTAACATTCAGCTACTGCAGCAAGCATTAAAGGGCAGAACTGTATTCCTTATTTCCCAATATTTCCAGTCAAGGATGGATGTGTCCTTTCAAGATGCATTTTAGATTTGTACAGAATTTATGGGGTTTAAAGCAGAGGAAATTAAGTGAATGCATGCAGGTGGTTTATCTGTATACAGAGTTGTATGACTGATTGAATGGCCTCTTCTGGCCTTGATTCTGTAAAGAACATTTGACATGGTAATATGAAATGTGCACCAAAGTCCTCCCTGTGATTATCTTGTTTCCAGACATAGTACTGCTAGAATTAAATTGATAAAGGTTTGCTTTTTTAAATTTCACAAAGACCATGTTTAGAAAGTTATCATCTTGACAAAATTAAATTTTAGGTCTTTATTCTTGTACTGCAGTCATAAATGGTGTGCTATAAATATTCTAAATAGTTGTTCAGTGTCTGGGAGATATCTCAGTATCTAATCATACGCTACAAGAGCAAGTTCTTTCAAAAATGTTAGTGCAATACTTTCCAATTTATTTTATTCATTTGTATGTCCCAACCCAATCTGAATTCAATCTGTCAATTGGATTCTGGGACAGAAGAGAACATGAGGCATTGTAATCTGGCAATAAATACATAGATGCTGGAGATTTGAAGATGTCTAACAAAATGATGAATTTCTGATGTAACATGCTAGTAGGAGTGGTAAAGGCAGAAAACCTATAACCAAAACCATAGCAAAATTTAAAATCTATCATGATCTGTTTATGATAGTTTGCTTGCTGTGATAATAAGAAATGTAACCAAAGATTCAAAAAACCCCCTTGAGAATTCTTATTTGCCCTTTTGGTGCCTACAACAATTATGCTGTTTAGATTGCAGTACTGGAAAGTTTGCATTGCATACTCCTGTTATGCACTGGATTTGAGATGCAAAGTAGTGCATTCTCTGATACAAGTGACTAGGACAATAAATTATATTTTGTATATACTTGGATTAAATGCTCAAAGTATTCAGTCACAAAACTAAAAGTATTTCACATGTAATAAGGAAAATTTTTAATGTCATTTCATTCTGTTAATAAGCATTGAAAATCATGCTATTAACATGTATTTATTTACACATGCGTATTAATACTGAAGTTACATTTTATTTCTTTCAAGTTGTGTTTTAATTACAAAAGAGTTTATTTCTTAGTGCAAGATAATGACAGACTTCTGTGTCCAGCTGTAGAACATAATAGTACATAGAGAAAAGAACAAATGTTGTAAATAATAATAATTAAAAGCACCAATCTCTTTCTTACTATGCTTTCTAAATCATGGGTCATCCGAAGCTGAGATAAGAGAATGGGTTTAGTTAATTCATACTGTGCTGTCTTTCACCTGATTTTTTTTAATATCTGACCTTGTGACTGGTTTTATAGGGAGTCAAATACCTTTCCCTTATCTCACAATGTCTGTATCTTCCAGTCAGGGGCAGAAGGCATAGCACTAGTAATGTTTTTAACTCTCTTCAGATCTTACATATATTTTATTTTCTCCAACACCTTTTTTTAGTAGTGGTTTTTATTAAAGGCAGATTACTAGTTGATTATTATTACAGGAAATACTGCACTCGTGGGTACTATAGTAAACTAATTGAAAGATTTCTTTTGTTCTTAACTATTATGTTTGTGTTCTGGTCAAATTATTTCCTTGTCCTTTTGGTTAGGCCTTTTTTCATTCATGGAAATACCATGAAGCCATTCAGTAGCTAATTTACCTCTATAAATTCCTATAAACAATACCAAAGATGGATCTTTTTTGTTCTTTCAGTGTGCGATGTTCAAGTATTATCCCACTCAGTCTGCACTTCTCAAATAAAATTTGAGCCTCTGTAGCCTTTGTTTGGTGCTGCTTCCAAATCTGACTGAAACATGCATGAAAAGAGATGGCTCTTACCAGCTACCTGATGAGGGAGTCTTTTGTTTGTAGTGAGTGACAGAGCCAGGGAAAGTCAGCGTACAAGCAGAAATATTAGATGAAAAATCATCAGTTACTTCCTGTAGTACCTCAAGCTCTGGAATTAAATTAAGATAGTAATTTATTTAGCTTTACTCATTATCATATTGAAATTGACACGGGGCTTCTAGAAACCAATTGTTCCAAACAGTTTGATCACAAGTTTTACATCTAATGTTTTCCAAAATGAAGAAAGGTTACAAATGTAGATTATCTTTTCTGCATTTCATAAACCTGTTTGAAGAACAGTGTTATTCAACCTGTTTTTTTTTTTACCTTACCTGATTCATTATGAGTTCTTATAGCTGCTCACACTGAATTCTAAATAATGAGGATTTTTTCAAATTTTAAAAGAATGTTAGAATGAATAAAAAAATGAAAGGCTTAGTTGTTTGTTTGTTTTTTTTTTTTTTTTTTTTTTTTTTAATTCATAATGAAGTGTGAGTTATTCCAGAACATGAAGGAATACTATGTACTAAAAAGTTGCTTTTTTCTAAGGCATCAATCTGTTCTCAGGTCCTCTTCAAGTAGCAGTGAGGTGTGACATTTGACCAGAGTTTTCCCAACATTCAGTGTTTGTTTTCAGACATTGTCCTGGTATACATTTTAATTTTACAGCAATAGGTGCCTGTAAAGAAGGAAATAGGGTAACTGCATGTTTTTCTATCTCATGGAAGAGCACATTCCAATCATGAGGGATTTCTACAAACCAACTTTTTTGTACTTTCAGCTTTCCTTGAGGAGTGTATTAATGCAGTTTGAGAGGCTGTAAGATCAGATAGGGCTGGTAGATATTACACAGAATTTAATGTGCACCTAGAACTTCCTGGAGCAGCAGCTAGCTGTCAGTGAGGATAGTCACCTAGGATACCTCAAATAGCATAAGATGTGGACAGCAGCATCAAACCTTCACACAGACTCTTTTCTTACATGATTCTACAAGACCGGGTGTACCCGGGTCTAGAAATGTGAATTTCTCTTTCTGTATCATAAAGATAGCCAAACAGACTCATTCTAGTACAGATACCTATTTAATGCAGATGGAGGTAGATAGGTGTTGATATTCAAAATTATGTGAAATTAATTCCACCACATATCCTAGTTCTAGAATCAAAACAGACAACATCTGGTAATCTCCCTTCAGATAGACACTGCACTACATCCCTTGAGTGGAAGAGAGAGTATTGACTCTGTGTCATTGGCCTTGATCACTCTTGCTCTGAGACTATTGAAACAACAAACACTGCTCACCTTATCTGCTCTGATAGGGAAAGCATTAATTGCTGGCACCAGCTCCTTCAGCAACTGCAAAGTGAACATCAAATTCCAGGAAACAAAAAAAGGCTAATCAGA